GCAACCCCGAGCTGATGGTCCTTTTAAAATCCTTGAGAAAATCAATGACAATGCATATAAGGTTGAGTTACCAGGGCAGTATAATGTGGCTGTCACTTTTAATGTTGCAGATTTATCCCCATATTGTGCCGCAGATGAATGTGACATGGGAGATGAAGACAATGCAGATTCGAGGACGAATCTTCTCTTGGTAGGGGAGGATGATGCACTTGAGTCACCATAAGTCATCATAGTTGTCATTTAGAGGGGTTTTAAGGCCTTTTATGAATTTTAATAATTACAGACGTTTCAGTTTGTATGACTTTATGTTTGGTTTATGATTATTTCTGTTTTGAGTCAGTTTTATTTCTGTTTTGTATCAGTTTTATTTCTGTTTTGTGTCAGTTTTAAGACCATTGATAGTCCTTTATTGTTGTTTACTTGTTGTATTGCCTGATTAAAAAGGCTTTGTAGAAGGATGTGAAAGGGGACTTTTGGTTTGTTGAAGAATAATAATATAGCAGAAAACTTCTGCATTTTTTCCTGAAAGCCTACTTTCCATATAATTTTGCATCAAGAGTGCTGTGCGTGCAAATGTACAAAATACAGAAGCTTCATTTAATGTCCAATCCTTTTCTCTTTTGTTTCAAAGGCAGACTTGGTTACATATGATTTTCTAAACTTTTCATTCTACTAAGATCTGAACAATACTTGTGGCAAGAGTGATTGATGTATGTCCCTTATATATATTACCCTTCCTGCAATCAAAAGCCATACGAACAAAGAAGTTTCCCGTTACAATATTAGATGATAAGGCTGCAATGCAAGAGACTAATGACTTGCCAATTAGGTGTGCTAGAGGTGGCGAGTCCATTTTCAACAGGGTTATTCGTCACCTACAATATGTGGTTTGGGTTAAACTAATAATAGCTAGCATATTTTTTATTTTAAAATTTCACCATGTTTTTTCACTTTCTTTTATATACATTTACTTTCTTGGCCACTTTTCTTTTGTGAAAATAATTCAGGAAATTCTTAACATTTTTTTTTCTTCTCGAGGAATGCATGTTTAATCTATCAAACATTTGTAATCACTTTATCTATTTATTTATTTGTAATTGCCTTTTTTCTATTAATTTTTTTTGGTATTCTTTTTTTTTTCTATTAATTTGGTAGCGTTGCTCAATTTATTTATCTATTTTTGCGTTTTTATCTATTTATTTGTAATTGCATATTTTTTTATTCTCTTTTTTTGATAGCCCTCTTTGTAGCTCAATTTATTTATCTTTTTTTGGGTTTTTTTAAATAGCAATTTCTCTAATAAATTCATACAAATCTGTTAGATACATTTTGTTTGGGTAGATCTCAAAAGCGTGACCCGGATTTGAACATTTTAGCTTTGGATTCCTTATATAATTCTCATATTGTAACCCAAATGAGTAAGACCTTCAAATCTACTTAAATAAAGCGGTAAATGGGTTACAATACTCTCTTGGTTCGATAGCACTTTGTATATGATCTTTACATATATGAAAAATGCATGCAACACATTATCAATAATTTTTTAACCATGAACAAAGCTGTGAATCGTACTAGTTTTGAATGAAGTTATTAGTTATTCTTTTCTATTAATAATTATATTGCTTTTTACTGGAATTATAAGTACTGTACGGATGGTGAAGCTATTACTTAAGCAAACAAACATCATATTTTGATAAAAAAAAGAAGAAAGAATCGGTCATTGAATTTAGGGAACACTGTTGAATATTAGTGATTTCTTCCATTCAGATTCAGAGTGTCTCAACAATTCGGTATTATAAATGTGTAGCCTCAAACAGGAAAATATTCATTAAGGGGCAAAGGGAATATTTCAAGATTATGATTTTAATATTTAATACCCTTTCTAACCAACAAAATATATTTTTGATGGTCCATCTTATCATCTATTTGAGTTTAACAAAATTTTCTTTAGCATTTGAATCCCTTTCTTTAGATTGAAGCAGGGAGAAGAGAGTTTATGACTTTCTATTTGTTGCTATGAAACTCATGGTTATACTTCAATGGTTTATCTGAATCTCCCAGTTAAGCTAACTTGGGTTGCCGTGGGCGTGAAGGCTTAAGAGTGAGAAATGTTTTTCTTTATAGCAGGAGGTTTAACTAGTTCATATTAGTTTAAAAATTGTATTTTGACCTAGTTGTTTTTTATGTAAATAAAAATAAATAAACCAAGTAAAGTAACAAAAAAAACAAACATAAATCCACAAAAAAATTGTTATCAGTGGTTCACCATCATTGTCTTTTGGGAAGTTGCATTTGTTTTTATTTACTCTGCTAGGCAAAGCTTAAACCAAGCAAACGTGAGCATAGATATTTCAGAAGAGAGAATGGCTTAGAAAATGAAAAAGCAAGGAGAAATTCACAAGAAAGGAAAGCTGAAAATGATAAAACTCTGCTCTTCATTCCTCCTTCCTTAAAAAAGGAGAAGAGATAGAGAGAAAATGAAGGAGCTCCCAGTGGTGAAGGAAGTTCAAAACTGAAACAAAAAAATTGCTTTTGTTAGGTATAAAAGGAAGAAAAGAGAGAATAATGTGAATGTATATAACTTTTTTATTGAATCAGTTTTTTCATCATGTTTGTTTTTCATTGCAAAGACAGTTTGACACCAAATATTACTATGAGGTTGGAATAGGGAATACCACTCAACAATTCTGGTTTAAAACTCCTCCCCCTGTTGGCACTGATGTTCCTCATACATTTGGTCTCATTGGTAATTAACACTTCCTCCTGAAATGATTTTCGTTATCTTCTTCTTTGCTTAACTAGCTCAACATGTTGTGGCTGTGAAATTTGTTAATTTGATGCATGACTCTGCCCTTGAATTTTTGCGGGAGAAACCTCTCATTATTGATCTTGAATTGTGTATACTTGATATCCTTATGTTCTAATTTGATCATTCCACTGAGAACATTGGCTTCTGAAAGTTCATTTGAATTAAAATTAACATTAAGCTTATCTGGGAGGTTTCCAAGTGCAAGCCCAAGTTTTCCAAAGACTGTTTATTGGAAAATGGATATCTCCACGAGTTGCACCTTTCTCATCTAGAGGACCCAGTAGCATGTCTCCAACTGTGCTGAAGCTATAGGCCAACCTTATATTCTTATTTGCAGCCATTATTTTTTTTTATTCAACCGGACCAAATTTTTTCTTAAATTTTGAGACAAAAGTAATTGAATATAGATTATAACAACAAAAGATTTAACTCCAAATCTTTTAAACTGATAAAGAATTTCTTTAAAAAAAAAAGTGTAGTCTATCTATGAATAATAACTTTCAACATAAGTATAAAATATTCATCTATCTTCATGGCTTTGCCTAGTAGCTTAAGTTAATGATATGTTTAAAAAATATATTATATATGATGTTATAATTATAATTAGAAATTGTGGGAAAGTAAATTTGCTGGTAAAGTTGAAAAAAAATTGTTTGATTGGATGAAATATTACCGAAAAAAAATAATTAAAGTTTTGTAAGTCCATGTTTGGTTGAAGATAAATTAGTATTGATGCGAGAGTGATATAAAATGACAAAAGTAACTCTTTTTAAATTTTAAAATTTGACAAAAATAACATTGGCATAGATGTACAATATGATGAGGTTAGGTTATAAAAGGTATATCAGTCACGTCTCTCCTTTATTTTATCAATTTATCCAGTCATCTTACAATACGACATTGTAAGTGGTATTTTTCATCTGTGTTTGTCGTATGTTTTTTCCTCACAATTGATAAAGGATGGGCAAATAAGTTTGCTTGTTAAATTTTTAAAAACCATGAACCAAACGTGGTCAAGAAAAAATGTCACTTATTGATACCTAGCTATCACATAGGAATACCCGAACCAAACACTCCATGAGTAAAATTGGCCAAAATTCCTGGTGATTTTTTGACTTACCACATAGTTTTTTTATAACAATCTTGGGAAAATAATATTCCAACTATATTTCCAAGAATATTCTAACACCGTTAGATCAGAATTTCAAGAAGAGAGAAAAAAATAAATGTTAGTTAAGTGGTAGGTAAAGATAGACAGAAAAAAAATAATAGGTAAAATAACCTATCCCTTCCAATAATCATGATTTTCGTAAAAAAAAAGTAACTTCTATACAAACGCCATTTGTGTTTTTTTTCTTATCCCAACTCATGTTAGGCCAAATCTCTAACTAAAATATAATAATAAAAAGGGTAATACTTTTCCATGTTATATAAGAAAAATATTATTTTCTATTTAAATAACAAATAGAAGATAAAAAAATTCAGATGAAGCTTATTTGAAAAATGTGAATATAAGAGATAATATTTTTTTTATGTAGCATAAGAAAAATATTATCATAATAAAAAGAAAATAATGCTAATTTGTAAGAACTACATTTCAAAATAAATTCCACAAAATTTTGGCAAAGTCTATGGAAATTTCAAAATAATACAAATTCGTGTAAATCAATAATAACATCAAACCAAACCCAAGCCTCACATTGACCAAGAACTTATCCAATAGTATATTGGGTCCGTCAGGATCCATTAGTTTTATAACCCTACGTCCCTACCTTTAAAAGATAGAAGGAAAAAAAAAATTAAAGGGGAAGAAGAAAAACAGAAACAGCGCCAGCGAGAGAGAATTTATTTTTTTTTTTTTTTCAAACTCATGTCTTTTTTTTTTTTTTTTTTTTAAAAAAAAAACTCATGTCTAATGTCTTCATAGATTCGTAATAAAAAAAGGTTTATTTGTTCTGATGTTATTTTAGATAATTTTATCTAATGTTTATCAAAATGATGTCGTTTTGGGACGAAAATCATGGTATTTTTGTAATTTTAATTTATTTCAGGGTATAATAGTATTTATCACTCTAATTTTTTAATTTTTCAACCCCAAAACGACGTCATTTCGATAAACATTAGATAAAGTTATTTAAAGTAACGTTGGAAAACTTTTTTCTCAAAAACAAACACATTTCGAAAACGCACAAGGAATATATATAGGTTGAGTAACATCAAAGAATCTTGGGCAAAAACGAAAGTTGACGTTGTTTCTAAGTCATATCAATTTCATACTTACATTGCAGTTTCTTCGGAATAATCTTACATTCGTCTTCTTCCATCCCACTGAGCAAATGAGGTTCTCACTTTTTTCGTTGTTTTTTTTTTCCCTGTTGTATTCTCTAGTTAAATCCATAGCTTTTTCTAAGTTTTGCCAAGAAAAAAAAAATTTGTTACTTGCAATATTACTTAATTTTAGCATTGCCCCATTTCTTTGTAATGTTATTAACATTTGTTTCAATTATCAAAATCACACCTTTAGTGTGAAAAGCATGATTTTTGTAATATTATTGACCCATTTGTTTGGAACTTGTAAGAATTTAATATTCTGAGCCATTTCCACAATTTTTGTTAGTAAATTATTGAAATTTTTCATTTTTGTTGTGTATCTAGTCGCCATCCTGAAGTTTTGTGGGCACAGCGTTCAGATAAGGTTTACCTTACTGTTGCTCTACCTGATGCTAAGGATGTTTCTGTTAAGTGTGAGCCTCAGGGTTTGTTTAGTTTCTCTGCTTCTGGGGTTCAAGATGAATCCTACAGCTTTAGCTTAGAACTTTATGGATCAATTGAACCTGAGGTGAGTGAACTATTGATTTGGTTTTAATATGTCATGACATTTAAATTTGCACTACTGTTGTTTGATTCTGTGCATGCTTTGTGTAAAATCATGTTTTGTGGTTGTATAAGGGTAATGATGATTGATTGCATTGATTAATATACTGAAATTTAGGGGATTTGGGGCTGGCTAATATGCATTTTTAATTACACTTTTTTGAGACCTTCATATGGATTTGGTCTCTCTCTCTCTCTTTTTTTTGTCTGTTCATTACTATTCAGTCTTACATACTCCTTTAACCCTTTGAAACCCAAATAATTGTGCCCTGCTTACCCTTTTGGATTGTTTACATTTTTTGTGTTTATCTGGACAAATTGAAATTGATGTTATATTCACTAAACAATCTATGGTAAGACAATCCTTCGTAATCTTGTTCTTTTGAAACTGCTCCATCCTTAGGGATTTATCTTTATCTAACCCCACCACAAATTCTACAATTTCTCTATGCTAATTTTGTCTTCAATGAGTGTTTTCTGTTAAAGTATTGGGCATTATGGAAAGCCTGTATAACTTAGTATTTCTATCCTTTGATATATATATATATATATATATATATATATATATATATATATATATATATTTGTTTATTTTTATCTAGCATCTCACTTAACATGAAACTATGGTCTGTCAACCCTTGCCTTTGACGGGATTTGAATACTTCTGCAGCATTAATGCATGCATAAACTTGTATCGATAGTTATGTATTGTACTTTTCAGTTAACACTGTTAAGTACTTAAGCTACATAGTGTTAGAGATATTAAACCATTGTTGCACCTCCACCTAATAACTTAAGCTTTTAGGAAAGTTGGTCCTTAACATGCTAGCATAGCTTCTATGATCAAGTTGTTAGGAGTTTGATCATTGTCGCTCCCATTCTTTTGAAGTAAGAGTGGGCCATGATTTGAGCCCAAATGGATTTTGCGTTAGGGGGCATGTTAAATACATTAAACCGTTATTCTCCATCTATCAACTTAAGCTTTTAAAAAAGATGGTTCTTGTTGAGATATATAAAATCATTAATATAGCCTCACCCAATAGCTTAAGCTTTTGGGTTGAATTGGTTCTTTACATGGTATCAGAGCCTCGGTGTACCGGGTTCGATCCTCACTGCCTCCCACTTTCTTTCTAGTGGAATTTCTTTCTTAGCACAGGTAGGTGGGCTTGTGCATTGTTCACCCTTCAAGCCCAATGGGCTCTCGTGTGAGGGGGCGTGTTAAGATATATAAAACCATTAATATAGCCTCACCCAATAGCTTAAGCTTTTGGGTTGAATTGGTTCTTTACAGTTCTTGACACTCAGGAATAAGAATTATTTACAACTCAAGCATGATTAACTTTTTACTTTTATGATAAATGACCTAGAACTTTGTCATTGGTTTATTGTCAAGATTTTCACTAAACACCACTCATACAATCAATATCACCCGGAATTTGGTCAGTACTTGCAGCAAAAACCAATCATTGCTCCCTTTTATTATCCTCTAACCATCTGCTTTATCACATTGTTGCTGTTGTTTCTGTTACCACTTATTATTTAATGATTTAATATCTATAGCTCTAATCACCATTGAGTCTTTCTTGCTCTCAAGTAAATGATTATGCTACACATTATTTATTTAGCATCTGCTGAAGCATGGTTCATGAAAATATAGCATGTGGGATTTATTTCTATGCAATGAACATGTAAAATTTGCAATATTTTAATATCCAAATAGTGTTCTTATTTGATGGTTCTAATGGAGTTGAATAAAATCTGAAAACTACTTAAATGTTGTCCCTCAAATTAGAGATCATGCATTAAAATAAAATTCTGTATAGAATTTGACTGCCAGCTGTTCTGGTCTTTGCCACTTTCAGGTTATCAATTGTTTTTCATATCAAACTTTTGAAAAAGTTGGATGGTCCTATCCCTAAATTTGTCATTTTGTTGTGTAGGGCTGTAAAACAAAAACTGGCTTAAGAAACATACTATGCTCAATTCAGAAAGGACAAAAAGGTTGGTGGAAGCGGCTACTGAAGTCTGAAGAGAAACCTGCACCATACCTGAAGGTTGACTGGAACAGATGGTGTGATGAGGATGATGAAGAGTCAACTTGTAAGCTTTCGTAAATTGTAACTTCCCTTAGAAGCTAGAATTTTCTGATTGGCATTTCAGAATTTTCATTCTGAAATTAAGCATGAGAATATTTATATTTGTATGGCCATCAATGTGATTTCAACATGTTAGTGTTAAGAATCCTTTATTGATACCTAGGATCCTAAATTTTGTAAATTGATATTTGTTTTCGCTTTTATGTCACGAGAGCATTTAGTAGAAGCTTAACTACCTCAGAGTCAGAGTCACTCATCGTGATGTTGTCTTCTTTGTCCATGTGGTCAGTTAGTTCATGTTATCGCCCCAAACAACCCATTGCTAAGCTATTCTTCTTATATTGAGATATATGAAGGGGTCTCTAGGTCATGGTGTTTGGTATATGGATCATGGACATACTGTAGTTGACAGCTTCTTTTGATGCTGAATGGGCTGGATTCCCTGTTGATAGGAAATTCACTTTTGGCTACTGTGTTCTTGACTTCTTGTTAGAGATAACTTTTGCTTCATGAAGTAAGAAATAAAATGTCGTTGCTTGATCCCGTGCCAAATTAGAATATCAGGCAATAGCATAACCTACATGCAAATTGATGTGTGTACATGCATCTTCTTGATGAGATTGGCTTTAAGAGTGCAATGCCTATGAAGCTGTGGTGTGATAATCAAGCTGCCATTCCTATTGTCTCTAGTCCTGTCTTTCATGAAAGAACAAAGAATATTGTGCTGGGCCTGTATCTCTTGTTGTGTGCTTTTTCTTCTCAGTACAAATATAGAGACAGGAAAACTAACAACAATCATTACCATTCTTTATTTTCTCTAACAGTTCTGAAGTGAAATTTTTAGCATCCCGACCCCTTTAATTTTCCTCGGTTGTCAGATGGGTTGGACAATCTTGCTTTGTTATTTGCATAACTTGCTTGAGGATTACAATTAAGTTGATTACTTCTTGGTGTGAATATTTCACTTTTCTGATTCATCTTTTGTTGGACTTTTTGCAGCTGATTTGGAATCTGATGATGATGATGCGCGGGTAAATTATATTCTTCACTTGCCACGTGTAATATTGAGTTATAGAGTTTAACAATCTCCTGGTACCTAATCTCTTCCAATGCATCTTGTTCTTTTGCAGTTTGTTGGTCAAGATGATGGAAGCAGTGATGATGAAGGAATGTTGTGTGAGTGACCGACCCCCCTTGTTTCTCTACTTTAATTACAGTGATTCTTTGAATTGCGTACTGAAATGGTGTTTGTGGTAAGATTGATGTCTGTGTAGAATATATGCACTATGAGACAATCCTCTAATCTTTCTTGGGAATGGATCCTTTCATGTGTGATTTTACATAATCATGTGAAAGGTTCTTAGCTCTTTTTTCCACCCTGTATTCCAATATTTTTTTTTCTTTTATCTCTTATCACTCTTGATTTGTCAATCAGTGATTAAGAACCTTTCGGATGACCTAGTCATGTGCAATCACACGAGAGGATTCACTCCCATCGTTCTTAGTATATGGTTAATAAGTTGTGCAAAATGCTTGCCTTCTGCTGCATCTCTTTCAGTATTTTATCCATTTTAGGACTTGAGGTCTTTCTTTCCCCATAATTGACAATTTTGTCAATAGTTAGCAGTGTTCTGGGAAACATTTTATAATCAACTTTAGCAACTGTTTCAGTTTATGGTTTTTTTTTTCCTTTTTTTGGTATACTCAGTTTATTTATTTATTGTTCTCTTCTTCCTTCCTTATACCTGATATAAATGATTATTGTTTGCAGATCTCCCTGACTTGCAAAAGGCTAAGTAACTCTTACAGTACCAACATAGATTTAAAAAGCATCTTGGAGAAGGAAACATATGGAACTATTTAGATAGGTGAAGGGATTGACTAGTTGATAAGATGCACTGTGATATGATTGTGACTATCCTGTATATAGAATCTAAGTAGTGCCCTGAAAACATAGTCTTCATCTTCTGAGACTGCTTGGCATCAATTCTGGTGAGAGGTTTCTTTGTTGTGAATGTTGGTTGCATCATATAATCTAACATTTTTTCTTAAAAAGCTTGTTTTGAGATTACACAATCCTCACATATATTGTCTTTTCAAGGTTGTAACTTCGACCAGAAATGCAATTTTTCTTCTTTTATTTTTTCCTATTGAACTTGACACAAACTTTTGACTTTTTTTTTTTAAAGTGCTAAGGTTGAGATAACTCCGCCAACTTTGATCTTTTGACGGATAAACCTCTTTGATATCAATTGATATATGACTCATTTAAACTATTGACATAAAATTTAGTTCTTTTCGATCATTTAGGAGTGAATGAAACTAATGAAGTTCAGCTAATTTAGTGTGGATTTTCTCTTCTTTTTTTATTTGACTTAATTTAGTTGGGATTTTGGTAGGTAATGATGCAATCAAGTGTGCTAGTTTAAATTTTGTCTCAATTTCCTTGTTATGGGCAAATTAATTATCAATTTTGATGAATAACTCTGCAATTTTTTTATGGAATGTTCTATTTTCCTATTAAAAATTTGGACGTGGCAGTTATCAATTTAAATCACAAGTAATTTGTTAAAAAGTAAAAGATAGAAAATAATGTTCATTCTGTAAGTAGAATTCACATCGCTGCAAACACTGACAAAATAAAAAATAAAAAATATTAACATCTTCAAATCTGGGTTATAAAAGTAAGATCAGATCAGTATAGGCTTAGATATGGTTTTTGTTCCTCAATTTAAAAGATTTTAATGCTAGTCCATCTTTGTTTTATGCATATAATTTTTGTTCACTTCAATTCTTGAAATTGACAAACCAATATCAAACTAGTCTCATTTTCCACAATTTTATAGCTTCCCTTTGATTTTGTCCGTTCTCCAAGACACGCAAAACCAATCCTCTCCCATCCTCTACAAAAGTATTCCCAATTATGTTTAAAATAAATAAACTCTAATGATACGCATTAAAACACAATTTTTTTTAAAGTTAAAAATTAAAGAGCTTAAAAATAAAGCTAAAGTTATTGTATAATTATATAAAATTGTTATAAGAATTTTGAAGAAGAGAAAATAAAATAATGTTTATTATTATGATGAACTATTAGAGTAAAGAGTACAATTGGTAAATGCAAATTTAAAATAGTGAAACTAAAAAATAAATGAGAATTCTAAAAAATTAGTATATCTCCATTTGGATGAGATTATTTGTAGAAAAAAAAGTCATCACTACAAAGTTTGTTTGATATCTACTTTAAAAAAAATCACAAAAAAGAGCTAAAAACCTACTTCTTTATAAAGCTAAAAATTCTAACTTTAAAAAAAAACAAAAGCCAGAAATCAAATATTTAAAAAAAAAAACTAAATAACTTTAACTTTAATAAAAAAAACACTTCTAAAATAAATAGAGAATAAAAAACACTTTTTTTGAAAGCCCATCCAAATATCTTTAAAAAAACTCCTCTTAGCAATTTTTGGCTTTTACTTTTTTTATTCATTATAACAAAAAATCTTTTCATAATAAAAGCTTTTATAAAAATATGTTTAGTTAAATTTTCACTCATAAAAAAATAAGACTTCCAAACAGGCAGGAAATCCCACAATTACCCGAAAAAATACACAATCATACGTGACCATGCTATAAACAATATATAATTACTAGGTTTCTAACATGCCCACCAAACCTGATTGGCATCCAAGTACAACGCTACACGCAAGATGGTTCACATTATATAAATAGTAATGTTGCAATTTTCCTTCGCTGGAAACATTAGAAAAACAACAAACCACACGAACAATACAAAATATGAACAAGAACGGCCTAAAGTGCTTCCTCCATACAATGACAGCATGTTGGAGAAGATAATCAGCAGGCACAACCACAAAATCAATGCCCAATGTGCAACTTCATGAGCAGCACTATAAAGTACTCTTGAAACAAGATAACTTTCAACTTCCCAAGTTCACTCATCTAGTATTGACATTCTGTAATCATGTCCCAACTTCCCAATTTAATAATCTTCAGCTCAAATATCATCTTATTGCTCCAAGCAAATTCGCACCATCAAGCTTCGCACCTTCCAAGTGCTGAAAATATAAAAAGTAATGATGAAATGTTAGCTTATCATACTTTGAAAAGCAAAAAAAAATACACTTAATCTTTCTACCACTCACTATTTCCTTGGGATGGCTAATTCGTGCCAGTCATATAAATGCTAGCCACAGGATGACAAACAAAAACCAAAGATAGTGTGTATGTTCTCTTTCCAAAAACTTAGGTTAAATAGTTAAACAAAAAGAGCATCAAATCAAAGGGAATTTGACAAAATCATATCTGATCCTACAAGGTATTTACTTAACTTTTCATTCAATTGCCTAAAACTCACTTGTTTTGGCTCCAATTAACAATTTTATGTCGGAAAAAAAATATTATAAGGGATATCCCATGCTACACGGTTTAGTTAATTTGTATTTTACAAAATCCAGAATCACTTCCTAATATTGCAGGGTTACAAACTGGTTCAGCCATATGTATCTATTGATCAACAAGAAGGTTAGTAAGTGAAATATGCTTCAAGGACAAAGCAGCAGTCACCTTGAACCAGTGTTATTAAAACCGGCCCGGCCTGGCCGGTCCGACCGGTTGGCCCGGAAACCGGCCCATCAACCGGTCCGGTTTCAATATTGGACCGTTTAAGCATTTGACCCGGTATCAACCCGGTGACCCGGTCATAAACCGCGGTTGAACCGGTGTAAACCGGTACCGGTTTTACCTTTAAACCGGTTTTTTAAAATAAGTTACAAAATATTCCAATTTTTGCGCCAGGTGGGAATCGAACCCGACCCTTTGATGTGAGGAGCGCACCTTCAAACCACTACACTATCATTACCTGTTGAATATAATACACCATTTAATATACTTATTATATAACTATTAAGTTAATAGAATTATTTCAAAAATTGCATCTAAGAGGAATCGAACCCCTTACATTGAGGATAGGCAATATAATAATTACCACTAGACTACATCAGGTTATTGTTTGAATTGCACCATTTAAAATATTTATTATATAATTAAGTATAAAATATAAATTTATATATATACCCGGTTCATGCGGTTCAACCAGTGACCCACCGGTTGAACCATTGACCCAGTGACCCAGTACCTCGACCGGGTCAATGACCGGTCCGGTTCTAATAACATTGCCTTGAACTGAAACTCTTCTGCGTTCAGTTTAGTTCAATAAAGAACTAATTCAACCCAAAAGCTTAAGCTACTGGCTGAGGTTACATTAATGATTTTATATCTGTAACACGCCCCTTCACAAGAGAGCCCATTGGACTTAAAAGGTGAATGATACATCAGGCCCAGCCTACCTGTGCTAAGAAATTTCACAAAGAAACTGGGAGGCAGCGAGGATTGAATCCGGGACACGAGGCTCTGATACCATGTAAATAATTTATTCAACTCAAAAGCTTAGGTTACATTAATGGTTTTATATCTCCAACAAGTTCCAACTACATTTTCAAAATCAATTGTTTCAAACTACACATGCATCCGCCATTTATTGGCAGCGGTGGCAGCACAAATAAATACACCACAATCTTCCCCCTCACCTATTCACTAATGGGCATTGGAATTCTCAAAATAGCAATGTCAGGACCATAAGAGGTGATCTAAGTTATATTGAAAATATTGACTAGCTAGTCAACAATATCATAAATAGCAAAGGCATTGGAAGAACTACAAAATTCAACTAATTTACGTACTGTATCTCGAAGGTTGACATGACGCAGATAAGCTCGCTGAAGGTTTGCGCCCCTCAAATTGGCATTGGTCAGCTTTGCACCCTGAGAAACACAGAATTGATTTCAAACAAATAAGCCGGAATATGCAAACAACATTTCTCACAGCCATGAAAATGATTCTTTCAAAGGAACCTGAACTAAAAATTAATAGTAAATTACATTGACGTACCCTTATGTTTAATGAAATTATGGGACCGATTTTGTTTTAAAATTACACAAGCATCCCATATTTCAAATTTTAACATAACATAAAGCCTCTTTGTTTTTCAAAATTACAAAGACCTCCCTTTTTTAACATAGCATAAACCTCTCTTAATTTTTGTTAGAAGAAAGGTAGATATAATTTCAAACATAAGAAAGGAGGCGCATTTTTTTTCTGTAATTTCATTAAACCTCTAGGGAGGTCCATGTATATAAAGGGCTGCCCAATGCACAATACTCCCATGATTGTGAGGTCTGGGAAATGTCAAATGTACACAGCCTTACTTCTTGAGCGAAGAGACTGTTTCTATGACAAGAACTCATGACACCATGTCACAAGCCATCAACCTCATTGTTGCACCAAGGAAGGTCGATAATTTACTCAAAATAATATACAGGGGCTTCCTTACATGTTGAGCAATAATACACGTGTGATGCATGAATATTATAAATCAGCAAAGATTGCTACTTCCCCAAAACTTGCACAAATTCATTTGTGAACCAATATTTTGCAGTTAAGAGTTAGACAACAAAGACATCAGTACGGAATATTGGGGAGGAGTACGTGTAAAGTGTGCCCTAAAAGTTAGAAGAGATGCCATAAACATTCCTAATAATGTAAGGTGATATTCTCTTAGGTGACAGAATAATGCAGAAATCATCTGGACTATCATTATTTTTGCACAAAACATCTGCAACCCTATTATATGCAGCCATGTAGGTCCAGAATATTTTACCTTTAAATTAGCTCCTTCTAGAACAGCCCCCTCTAGATTGGCATTAGTAAGATCTGCATTCTGTGAAGTTAAAATGTACTAATTAATTAACCATCACAAACTTTTAATCAAGACACAACACTAAAACTCCTTGAATCAAGCTAAAACCTATCTCGTGAAAATCAAAATTATATTTCACCAAAATTAAGAAGGTTAATCCACCACTTGATTGATTCAAAAATTAATTTTATTGATTAAAAAGGTCAAAAGAACAGTCATAAAGCTGCTTTATCTAATGTAATCAACTATCATACAGCAGCATATACACCATTACAAAGCACACCATTGGTAGGGAGGCAATATTGAAAAGATCGGATAATAAATGTTCCAGACTGGTTCCAGTCCATAATTGTACAAATATGCTGCATCTTTCATAAAATGTAGTGATATACATCTCTCATAATGATCCAGTCATATCAAATCAAATCTCAAATCAACCACCTTCATTAGGAAAATCATTCATTTCAAACTAATTAAATTATACTAAGGGTCAGATCCACTTACATTGCGCACTTAAAACTTAGTTCTTCAGATGTTAGTGATGACAAAAAGGCCATATAAGTATACAAAGAGGAGGTAACTAGCATCTTAAGAAGAGGGGGAGGGGGGGGGGGGGGGGAGGGGGGACTAAAGAAGTAACGTCCAAATTCAAAATAATCATACATGATTTTACAATACTGGAAACTTCTAAAATAATAATAATAATGGTCCTGCCTTGCCTTGTAGAAACTGTTTGACTAGGGGAAGATTGATAAGGTTGAGTGGAGCAAGCAAAGAAAAAAAAAAAAAAACTTAAATGACTAATTCTTTATTAATATTCTTGATCTTAACAGGTCTTAAGACTTAGAGAAAGACACAACATGCGGAGGCTATTGCACATGCTCCTCTTCTAGAGAAAATGACAAAAGGGAGCATATGCAGGAATATAATATACTTTATAACTAAAAATATATATATACTCTGAAGAACTCCAAAAATATGAAATAAATACTGGCACAAAAAATAAAGCTTTTAGAAAGAAAAAAAAAAGAATAAAATGGAAAACATAAACAAATTTAAATAATCAATTATATAAGTTAAAGATCCAGGCTTGGTGAACCTGTAGATGTGCAGAACGCAGGTCTGCTCCGCAGAAGCTACAATCTACTAAACAAGCATCTGCAGAATAGCAGAATTTCATTTTCCAAGTATACTGTTTGATAATTGATATACTAATACAAATAGAGGCATATTGCACTTCACATTATGTTTCAGTATAACCAACAAAATTGACATGGATATTGCAGGCGAAATTATAGTATTTTTGCTGGAAGCCAGGATAATAGAAGTTAACCTCCAAAGTTGGACTTGGTTTGCACACTAAATGCGTTTCGATATAGCCTAATAGATTAATCATTGTAGCCAAATCCAAATAGCGGGATAAGGCTTGGTTGTTGTTTGTATCAATTATTTCTCAGTTAAATGCAAAATAGTAGAAATGACAAGGAAATATTTGGCAATAATACATGTATTGATTCCTGACATCAAAATTGATAAAATTCATATAAATATAATATGCTAACAGACCTTGTAGATTTGCACTCTGAAGGCATGCACCAGCCAATAAAGCACCACGAAGATTTGCCCCAGTAAATTCACATCTTCCCTAGGCAAGATGAAATAATTAAGAGGCCTGCAAGTATGTATGCAATTAAATACTAGAATTTTCTGAGTGACTTACTCACGCAAAGTTGCATTGTGAAAGATGGAGGCCTCAGCGTCAACATCCTATTACATTAAGGATTTAGGATAACTTGTAATTAAAATTAAATCTAGATGGTGAAATGGTCAATAACAGCCAAATATTCAATTTCATAACTAACTAAAACAAGACAAGCGTGTAGCGTCACAAGTTTTAAAAAGTAAAAAAGAAAAAATGTGGTGATCATATTAGCCAATAAATTCTTTGCTAAATACTGTATCATCAGTCATTTAGATCATATATATTTTAAGGATGGATATTGTAAAGAACCTTGGGATACAGCACCCCAAAAGCTAGCTCAAAGGGTGAGAGTGCCCAATGCCTTATAAAGGCCACATTAGTTGCAAATACAACCAATGTGGGACTATATATCTCAACACGCCCCCTCACACAAGAGCCCACTGGGCTTGAAGGGAGGATAATGCACAGGCCCACCTACCTGTGCGAACAAAGAAATTCCACCGGAAAGAAAGTGGGGAGCGGCGAGGATCGAACCCGGGACACGAGGCTCTGATACCATGTAAAGAACCTTGGGATACACCACCCCAAAAGCTAGCTCGCTAGCACAGGAACGCCGTAGATCTAAGACAATGAAGAAATCATAGATCTAGAACAATCTAGATGATCTGTAGATCTGGAAAACCATAAAACGAGAAAGAAGATGAAAGGGAAAGTGACCAAAGGGTAAGGAAAAACGATGAAAGAAAAAAAAATCGATGGCAGCGGAACCTCCAATCATGGAGGATAAAAATGCTCTAATACCATACTAGAAGGTAAAAGAGAGAAAATAAAAAATATTAATTTCATTGATTGTGGTGATTGATTTGTACAATGAGTGAGCTCTTATATAGAAGAGCATAACATAAAAGAGAGATCTAGAATATCATTGAAATACTAAACTACCCTTATACCTAATATCTAATACTCCCCCTCAAGATGGAAAGTGAACAAAGAGAACTTCCATCTTGAACAAGAAAAATCAAGAAAATATAAAAGCAAAATAAAAAAAAATAAAAATCCTGAACGAGGAACCAAAAACTTAGTGAGCTGGAATGAGCTTAAGCAAAAATCAATCCTGCCGGTATGGACATCGGCAAATGACATGGTGCCGGAATGGACATCAGCAAATGACATGGAGCCGGAATGGACATCGGCAAATGATATGGAGCCGGAATGGACATCAGCAAATGACAGGGTCAAACTGGCCAGAATACAAGCCAACAACAATACAACAAAAAAATCAAAAGCCAAAAATAATAGCAGTGTTGCAAAGACATCCACGAGCTCCATGAATCTTCACAAACCTGCAAAATGAGAAGAGAAAGAAAACAAATAGACTGGAACAGATCAGAAAAAAAATATTAGAAAATAAACACCACCGAGGAGCGGCTGGAGAAGGAGAAAACACAGATCAAAAAAACTTAAACGATCTGGAATGGCAGAGACGAGACACCGTCGGAGAAGGAGACTGTGACCGGAAAAAAAAGGCCGGAAATGATGACCGGAAGAAGAGAAACACAGCCGGAGGAGATAAAAAGACACAGATCTGAAATGTGAACGATCTGGAACAACGGTCGGAGAGATGGAAGATGCGACCGGAGAATAAGACGTGGTCGGAGATGATGACCGGAAAAGAGGAAAACGCAGCCGGAAAATTCCCAGATCTGAAACCAAAAAAAACAAAAAAAAAATGAAGGGAGACCTCCCCACTGAGATGCGAGCCAGATCAGAGACACATCGCTAGGCGGTGAATGAACGGCGACAGATCTAAAACAAACGACGCACTGATGGTGAACCAGCGGCGGAGCGCTGAAGACGATGTTGCTGACTGCTAGCTTGCTGTATGTGCAACTAAAACAAACGGCTATCATTGGTTGTATGTGCAACTAATGTAAAGTTTATAAGGTCTTGAGCACTCCCACCCTTTGAACTAGCTTTTGGGGTGATGTATCCCAAGGTTCTTTACAGATATATTTGGGCTCGACAAGAAAGTTGGATTATAAGTTGTTCTCAAACTATTGAAGGCCTAAACCCAAAAATGGCCCGAACTAAATTTAAAACAAGCTTCGGTAATTTGAAATCAAAGTTGCTATATACCAAATAGGCCTGAATCAACTTGCCAAATTGATATCCCAAGTATTAAGTATGGTCAGAATCATACTTACCCGAAACTTTGCACATTGAAGGTTTGCTCGCGAAAAGAACACATTTTTAAGACAAGCATAGCTGAAATCCACATTATATAAATCCTGAAAATCCATAATCATTAGATCAAGACTATGTCAGGGGATGATGTTAGCAGACATATTACCCTGCATATGTCAGGGCATGCTTTTACATGTAAACTAAGAAACTGTTTAAAAACATTTATGGTCCAGGAAATTACCAGTTTAGAGAGGTCAATGCCAGAAAGATTAACCCCTCGAAACCTGACTCTCTCAGATTGTATACACTTGATGATATCAGTACGTGTCAACTCTGTACGTAACTCATCATCTTCCTTCCTCTTATTAAGGACAGCATGGATTCCATCTATTAGCCCCTGCCATTTTCCAAGTGATAATAGGTTTTAGGATTTTTCAATAAGGTCTGATATTTCAGTTTCTTTTCCATTTGGTAAAGTAGTTAGAAGAAATATAGGGAGCAGGTACATAAGGAACTTCACGTTTAACATCATGGCATATAGTGCCATTAAATCTCGACTAGTAAGGGTGGGGTGAGGGCAATTCTTGTACAAGGTCATCAAACTAACAGGAAAATACTTACAAGAATTAAAAGTAATTATTCCAAAGAAATAAAGGGTGAAATCGGCACTGCCTTGTCTTTAGAGTTAAGCATGAAAGATGAGAACGCATGTTCAAAATCTATCAAATGCATTTGTACACTCGCCCTAATTAAAAGGAATTACAAAAAAGAGAAAAAAAAAAAAAAAAAAAAAACTTATGTCAAGGATCTAATGGTATGCATGGCATCATCATAGTGCTGATATTCTTATCACAAACAAAATTGACACAGCAAATATGATGCACCCGAGCTAATTGATTTGGATTGGGCTCAAATTTGGATAGCCAACTCGAAATGGGCTTCTGAGCAAGACTCGTCACATTGCCATGGACATCAACAATTTTGGGCCCTTTTATAGTTTATTCCATAATTGGTGTGTTAATTGTGCAATATCTCCTTTGATTGCACGTGATTATAGTTATTTACCTTTTTTTGTTATTTTATTTTGTCTATTTAAGGCTTAGAGAACCCTATTGTTATTAGGTTGTTTTTGGTTAATTAAATTCAGAAAAGAGAAATAGTGTTTTCTCGCAATTCTTATTTTCAATCTTTCTTTTTATTTAGCCAATGGGTTACTGCTTCGGCATTAAAATACTCATGTACATGTGCTTTCGCAGCACAACCCTAGCTCCGGAAAACTAGACTCGACCATTGAAGACAGCCTAAGAAACTGGATTTTGGCTTCAATAGCATCTGATAGCTATAATCATACATTAGAAAAGAGCACTGCTTACAAGTAGCTGATAGAACTCAGCCTCCCTCAACAGCTCTCCAAATTCAGATTCCTCCAAAGTTGGCACCACGCCATCCCTTAACCAATTGAGAATGTGCCGGAAGTGTTTACCATCTCTATCAACAAACACATACCCCTGCAATCAATCACCCACTGGCATTGTCACCAAATCAATGAATATAACATAAATGCATAATTGCACAAACAGAGAGAATTTTACAAACAATAATATTAATAATATTACAGTGAGCCCTCATTGAGATTTACGGCATGTCTGACCTTAGAATAGGGTAATAAACCATAACCTAGTGCTATATAGCTCCTGCTATGCGCAGGATCCAAAGAAGGGTTAGACTCAATGTGTGTGTTTATAATAGGTGGTCTTTGCTTGCATTTATTACATGAATCTTATTATATGTCATATAGTGACAATATCGAGAGAGCGAGCCTTGAAGCAGAGATACAATTGCTCCTTGGGACCGGAAGGTCACATGTTTGAGTCTGGAAAATAGACTCTTTGCAAAAGAATGCAAGGGCGCATACAACCGATCCTACAATCGATCCTTATCCCTACCCTTGCAAGTTGGGGAGACTTGTGCACCGAGATTTGCGCTTCAAAGTAACAACACCAATCATAGTGCCAGGTCTTCCCTTAATAATAATAATAATAATAATAATAATAAGGTTAATCAATGAATCATTGTGTTTAACAAATACAACATGAAAAAGAACATGTGTGAACAAGAAACAAAGAAAATGACATTGCCTTATCAGGATCTTGGCAGAGAGTATGGCGACCACTGAACATAGCAGCTAGCATTGAATCAGGCTCTCGCTGAGTCAAAGTATCAGTGGTAGTGCAAAATTTCTTCCCTCCTGCAAATATTTTTCACAACAAAATTCACCTCAGTTTTTTTTTTTAGTTCTTTTCCCTTCAAGGAGTAGAAAACGGTGTCGTGTTATTCAAATGAAACTTTTCACTAAAAAAAAACAAATAATTAAAATAAATAAAAGCAGTGATTGAGATTCAGTGGAAGCAAGTAAAGTGAAAAGAACAGAAAATGGGTTAGTTTTGTAGCGAAGATGATGCGGAAGAAAGAGAATAGGAATAACGGAGTAACCAAACATAGAGAATTGGGGAAATGGAGATTGGGATTACCGATGTTGAGGCGAACAACGGAACACAAATCGGATTCGAAGCCCTTCATTGTACCCGCTGAAGCTCAAGCAGAAGCTGCCACTGTACGTCTCTTCTCTTTCGATGGAGAGGATAGAAAATTGAATCAAGTTATGTTTAATTGATTGAGATATTCGATTGAAAGCTTTTAATTTTATTTTATTTATTTATTTATTATTATTAATATGATATTTTTAGGAACAAAGCCAAAAAGAACAAACACTAGATGTATCTGGGCCATAACATTAACTCTCCTATCCGGGGGTTTTTGGGCCAACCGGTTCAACTGGCAATTGGATCCCCAATCGATCCAGTCCCCTTAATGTGGGCCATTCATTCGAACGGTATGAAACCATTAAACAGTAATGAATTGGGTTCAACTGGCATGAACCTATACTGTATTAATAATTGCATACTACGCTTACCAACGTTTTTCATTATACTTTCAATTTATTTTTCCTTACAATCTATAACAATTATTTTTTTATTATTATTAGATTAAAATCAAATTAACGGCTATAAGAAACATAAGATATCTCAAATATTCATATTAAACTCAATAAAATGATAATCTAAATCCAACGAATCTAATAGTTGGAACTAAAAACGCAATGCAATGTAATTTTTGAATCTTTTTTAAGTCTCTGCAACATGTGTTGGAGAGTAGAGGAGTGTCAGAGTGTCAAAAAATACCAAACACGATACGTTAGAATTTTTAAAGTATCAATCCAAAAGTGCAAGAGTAGTTATTGGCTTTCCCATTTGAAGATTTCTTGAAACCAAGGTACCACATTTTTAAGTGGCTTCAGTAGTTCCTATGCAATATAATCTGAGCAAACAAAGATTAAGCCTTTCAATAACAAACACATGTCATGCTTTCTTTCCACAATAGGAATCTGATTCTGAAAAGAACCCAAAAAAATATATAAAAAAAAGCTCTTAAAACACTTAATTGCTCAATTTTGTATAAGCATGTGCCATGTATCAATGCTCACAGCAGATCATAAATTATACTTGATCATAACTCTTATAGTAGCATGTTCTATGTGCTAGATTAGTAGGAAAAGAACCTAGGCAGAACTAATTCCAGCACTGGCGGACGTATTCACACGCACATGTCTGCAAGTGCGTGCATGAACTTTTGAAAAAAGAATAAAAAATTATTTTCATAGAAAGACAGAGAGTTAGCGCGAGACGTGACAGTGGGAAGAGTCTTCCATGGACATGCCTTCTCCGAACAAGGCTTTTATTAGTCTCAAACCCAATACATAAAAAAGACCTCTGTCTCTGTATCTTTACTCTGCCACTGCCCAAGTAAAATGGAATAGTTCCCCTCCCCTATCTTTCCTAAAAAAACACACATATAAAAGTAGAGGAGAGTTATATTTACAAATTTTTTGTTTACAAACTATACTGTGTTCTCTCGGGAGAGGTTACATTATGTTCTCTCGGGAGTACATAATGTAATTTGTAAAAATTTATATATTTTTTTTGTAAACGGAGTGTTCCCCATAAAAGTATATTAAACTTAAATTTTATTTTTCTTTCATCTTTTCACATAATCTTATACGGGCCTCATATATTTTCATATGTATAAAAGATAATTGTTCTATTATAATAATTTAGTTACTCTTGATTACTATTTTTTTATGTTAAATTGAAGTTTTTTTTATATATTCTTTTGTTTTTTAATGTATTTCTTTCAAGGACGAACTACGTCACTTAGTGTGCGGACAGAAATAAAATTTTCTGGGTCCGCCACTGAATTCCAGCCCTCCTCAATTCTTGTCATTTGAAATCTGAATGCAAGAAATTAAATTTATCCTTGAATATTCTCTTAAAAAAAGGAGATGATAGTTTTCTTTCATCGGAAACATGCCAATTTGCTATAAGTACATAAAATTATTAAGATCTTAGGTTAGAAATTCTTGAATGTCACTGGTTACTTCCTTTGTGTTAAACAGCTGGCCTGCATATTACAGCCGCCCTTCCATATTTTTGACACCTAACTAACGGTCTAAAACAAATTAACTGATGATAGAAAAGAAAACATTTCAGATTCTTGAGACCGCTCCATATTCCTTGTATTATGATTAAGTCTATTGTATAAAGAGGCAATAGTTGTAATCAATTAAGACAGACAGAATAACAATCGTTCTAAGCCTATATGTTACATGTCTTTTGAATTCTATTCTCTTTTAGTACACACTTCACTCATTTGGCTTTGGGCCTTCTCTTTGTATATAATGAAATGATTTTTCGTGGCTTTTTCTTCTATAGACTCGATATGCTATTTACAAATCCTATATTAATCACAAATCTCAAATAATTTACACCAAATCAGAGTTATAGAAAACTAAGAGGATTTGAATATGTTGTTATATTTAATGAAATGGCTGATAGCCAATATATACACAAGTCGGTTATACAGAATCAAGGAGGATCAACTAGAATAAAGTATACTGTTCAACAAACTATACATGGAATAATAACAAACTATTCTTGCTAAAAACTAGGACTTAGTTGCTAAAGGATAAGATCAAAGGTGATCTTCTCCTAACACGCCCCCTCAAGTTGGAGCATGAAGTGACGAAATGCCCAACTTGCTGCGAAGAAAACTGAATTGCTTCATGCCAAGCGGTTTGGTAAATATGTCTGCGAGTTGCTGATCTGTACGAACGTAGGTAGTAGTGATTGTATTGCTGAGAACATGATCGCGTACAAAATGACAATCAATCTCTATATGTTTGGTACGTTCGTGGAAAACTGGATTAGCAGCTATTTGCATGGCAGATTGGTTATCACAGTGCAACTGCATAGGGTGTGAATGTGGAACATCAAGCGAGTCCAGAAACGATTTGATCCATTTCAACTCAGCTGTAGCTGCTGCCATTGAACGATACTCAGCTTCAGCGGAGGAGCGAGACACTGTGGGTTGCTTCTTTGTTTTCCAAGAGATAGGAGAAGTACCCAACATGATAAAATAACCAGTAACTGATCGACGGGTGAGTGGACAGCTAGCCCAATCCGAATCAGAATATCCACGAAGAAGGAGATCATTGTCGGATCGAAGGAGTAAACCTTGGCCAGGATCAGTTTTGATGTACCTTAAAACGCGGATGACAGCATCATATTGAGCAATAGTAGGATTTTGCATGAACTGGGAAAGAACATGGACGGAGTAACTTAACTCAGGTCTAGTAATTGTCAAGTAAACCAAACGTCCTATGAGTCTTCTGTAACGTGCGGGATCTGAGAATGGAGGACTTTCTGTAACTGCAAGCTTATGATTTGTTTCGAGAGGGAAGGCACATGGTTTGCACGCAAGGAGACCAGCGTCTTCCAATATGTCGAGAGCGTACTTTCGTTGGCTCAGAAAAAGACTTGATGGACCGTGAGCTATTTCGTTGCCAAGAAAATATTTAAGAATCCCCAAATCCTTGATGTGAAAGCATGATTGGAGAAAGACCTTGACATCGGTGCATAAGGCATCATTGTCGCCCGTTAGAATAATGTCATCAACGTAGATGAGAAGAGCAACAAAGTGGCCATCTTTGTGTAAGGTGAATAGGGTGTAATCTGCCTTGGATTGGATGAAGCCATATGATTCAATGGAAGACCGCAACTTAGCAAACCAATTGTGAGGGGACTGCCGCAAACCGTAGAGAGATTTACGTAAGCGACATACTTGATGTGGTTTGTGATGATTGAAACCTTGTGGAACGCGCATGTAAACTTCTTCGGTAAGGTCTCCGTGTAGAAAGGCATTCGTAACATCCAACTGGTATAGGTGCCATGATTTGGCAGCAGCTACCGCAAGAAGTGTTCAGACACTCACCATTTTGGCTACAGGAGCATATGTATCGAAGTATTCTTCTCCAGCTATTTGATTGTTACCGGCAATGACCAACCGTGCTTTGAATCTCTCCACTGTACCATTTGAGTTGTACTTAATGCGGTATACCCACTTGCATGGAATGGCACGTTTTCCTGGTGGCAAAGAAGTGAGTTCCCACGTGTGATTTTGTTCAAGGGCATCTATTTCTTTTTGCATTGCTACACGCCACCTTTCATCAGTTACAGCATCCTTGAATGTTTTTGGTTCAACACCAGAAGAAATGGCAGCAAGGAATTGTTGATGTTTGGGAGAGAATCTAGAACAAGAAACAAAGTTAGCAATAGGATAAGCCATACCTGAGGAAGGACTGGAAGAAGTAGAAGAAGCTAGTGGATTATGTGCGATGACTTTGGAGCATTCGAAATCTTGGAGATAAGATGGAGGACGGCGAGAACGGTGACCACGTCCCAAAGGTGCAGATGGATGTGTGACTTCTGGGGGCTGTTCTTGTCGGATAGAAAGCTCATTGGAGACAGTAGGGGCAGATTCGGGCTGAGCCTGTTCAACAGGGAGAGTGTCTTCAATTAAAGGGACAGGGTTGGTAACAACTTGGGAATCAAAGGATGGGCTTTGTGGAGCAAGGGTTGGTTCGGGTGATATGGGGTTATGGGGGTTTGGGTCGTGAGGAATATCAGTGGTAGGAATGACTGTGGTTGGTGCAAAAGGAAAGGTGTTCTCTTCAAATACCACGTCTTTGGATACAAAAACAGTATGGGTTTCAAGGTTATAAAGCCTCCAACCCTTTTTGCCAAAAGGATATCCCAGGAACAGACACCGAGTTGATCGAGCTGCAAACTTGTCCAACGGTTTGGGACGTGGATGAGCATGGCAAAGACATCCGAATATGCGAATATGATCATAGCTGGGTGTGCGGTTGAAAAGACATTCATATGGTGTTTTTCCTTGGAGAAGAGGAGTGGGGGTTCTATTGATTAAATGTACCGCAGTTAGAACACATTCACCCCAAAACTCGATAGGAAGACTAGCTTGAAAGCGTAATGCTCTTGCAACATTCAAAATATGTCTATGTTTCCGTTCAACACGACCATTCTGCTGTGGTGTGTCTACACATGATGTTTGATGTATAATTCCCATATCGGAATAAACCTTGCGGAGATTATGAGCACAAAATTCTGATCCATTGTCTGAGCGTTTTATTTTGAACATGGTATTAAACTGATTACGTACCATGAGAAGAAATCGAGTTAAGTATTGGA